GTAAGATATCTCATCAATTCAAAAAGTAGGCCACATTTGTCACATTTCATATGAAATATTTTTTGAATTTTAAGCAAGGTGTGCTTGTATTTAAAATTGTTTAATATTAAGCATTAGGAAAATAGTCTCATGATCAACTTAAATTGGAAATATGGTTTTATTGATACTGGTTACCAAGACCTTAACATGCATTTAAAAATCGTAATATATATTACTTAACAAATTGTATAGTGAAATAGTTAATTTACTAGGCAATATAATACTGATATATATATAAATCAAATTTCCACTCACATGTATTCTCTTGGTAATTTTATTTTTACCTCAAAAAAATCATCTTTGATTCTCTGTTAAATCTCAGATGTCAAAACTTCATAACAACTTGAAGGCATTACAGAGGAAGTGTTCAAATTCTTGATGAAATAATTCCATGAGCTTAAAATCTGTGAATCCTTTCACGTCTTTTCACGCTTGAGTCGAATAAATCTCATATCTCTTGTGACTTTTCATTAGGCAAATAAATTCGTTGTTGATTAGATTTAACCTCATCATAGCTTGGTCTAATTGTCTTCTATTGACATTAGATTACTGAAGGCACAATTCTAACGACACTCAAATACTTGTTTGTATCATTGACATGTCATCACTGCCATATGTCAACTAATGATGATAACTCTAAGATAAAAGGTTTCTATGAATGTTGTAAAAACAAATTATTGTTGAAATGTTTAAATATGTTTGATTTTCTAGGACTTCAGCATAAAGTTAAAGACACATTTTATTAAGGACGTCTTCATTTCATTTCATTTTTTTTTGTCATTGATTTTTTTAATGGTGATGACTTCATTTTTTAAAAACATAATTATGGAAAATAACTCGAAACTTTATCTGGACTCTTTATATAAGCGTATTTCAGCAATATATTATTACAGTAAAATACATATATTACTTCATAATATTTCATATCTGGTAAGAAATAAGAAGCTGATTTTTATTTCAAGCTAAACCTAAATTTGAGATTTAAAAGGGTTCATCATTTGCAAACAGTTTTAGATATATTTTCAATGTAGATATACTATGGAAGTTATATTTTTGAATGTTTCTTTGCTTGAAAAGAAAAATTGGGATAGGAGAGAAATCCTGAAATATTACATGATGCTTTCAACTTAAATGGCAATAAGTAGCATCAATGTTAATAATACAATTAACAATTCTTAAAAACATTAAAACAATGTGTATTCTCTATAGTATTGAATACAGAATATATATTTCATTATAAATCTTAACTATCAAATAAATCGGCCACCAATCCTCACGCATAGCTGACATTTTATCTTTGATAACCATAAAATTTATAGCTTCTTTTCCTTTCATGGAGAAATTTGTCTTGAAATTGTCGTTCAAGACACTACAGGGTTTCCTCTGTATTGAAATAAAATATTCATGGACTCAGTGATTTGCGATATCAAGGACCAGAATTAATGATTTGCTTCAAACAATTCACAGACGCCTGACAGAATGTCACACGTTAAACGTATTTGTTATATACGCATTAAGACACAATGAATTTAAAATTAATTTATTTTCCTTTTACTAGCTTATTATTTTACCATTTCATAGGGTATTCAATTTCAAATTAATTTTTTTTCAGAACTCTCCTCGTTTTTATCTTATCTGTTATTATCGTTTAATTCTAAAATGATCTGCTTTAAGGTTATTTCATTTTTTACAAATTTTACTTGTTTGTAATGGCCTGTATCAAATAAAATGGTAAATTTTTTTATCCAAATGATTTCGTTTGAGGGATATAGCATATCAATTATTTTTCATAAAGAGGTGCGTTTATAAAATGTTTGCTTTAACATTATTTAGTTTATGCAAATTTTACTGGCTCTTTTAGCCTGTATCAAGTACAGATATTCTACATAAACAACATGGCAGCCAATGTATCTTTTTTGTTTGATTTTACCAGATAGGAATGGCCTTTTAGAAAAATGCTTTTGTAACAAACTGTAGATCAAAGTACTTTTGAAAATGTTTTGTAAAATACAAGATAACCTTGGGGCCTATTCTTGAAAACTTCACCGATTTTCTAGTTCCAGTTATCTGATTGGTCAGTCCATAAATAAGTTATATATAACAGTGGTATTATCAATGACTGCTATTTTAGCTTCCTTATTTGTTATCTTTTTATTGTGCTAAATAAGGTATTGAATAATTGATGGAGGTAATTTGAAGTGTAATGGCGAGAGGAGGTGATGGCTAGTCTGTGGACGTGATGTCTGACAGTAAAAGTGTCAAGCTATAATTTCAGATTAGAATGATAAATTATTGTAAAGTACATGACCAATTATAAATTATATATTATATTTTAATATTACTACTATAAAACATTTAAAACAGCCATAATCTGAAAATGATATTTAATAGGTATAATGAAGATAATTGTTTTATAGAGTTTATTAATTCATTTCACTATAGTTATAATAATGATTTTTATTACATTGGATTAATTTGTCAATTTGTGATATAAAAATATTAAAGGCTCTTTGCATCTTTGCTAGGATCAAATATTAAACTTTTTTATAAGCCCACACATAAGATGGGCGTATATTGTAATCACCCTGTCGGTCCGTCCGTCCGTTCACATTTGGTTCGTGCTCACTTTACAGGCTACAATTCTTTACAGATTCTTTTGATTTTGATTTTGTTTGTCAATGTCATTATGAAGATAATCCCTATCGATGTTTGTGATGATTGGATAATTTTTCACCGAAATATCGTGTCTGACTTGACGTTTCACTCTATTAGCTATATTGTGCAACTCGTGCTCAATCCACAGGCTACAATTCTTTACAGATTCTTTTGATTTTGATTTCGTGTGTCAATGTCATTATGAAGATGATCCCTATCGATTTTTGTGATGATTGGATAATCGTTGAATAGTATTATATTTATATCTATTAGCTATATTGTGCAACTCATGCTCACTCTACAGGCTACAATTGAATGGGCAGCAAACAAAGACTTGTGCTTACAATCAAAGCTATCAGTGGGTGTAGGTTAGCTTTCCTGGAAAGCTTTATTTTTTTTGTAATTTGAACTATATTTTTGAGTTTTAATGTGATCTTCCTACAATCATATTATATCTAAACAGATTATGGTTTATGTTACATATTATGGAGTATAAGATTGCTAGAAAATTCACTGTAATATGATATTTTATTTTAATGAATGTTATTGGCCCATATATATAGTTAAAAAAACTGTAATATTGTGGTGCTTCACAAGGGCTGGATGTTGCTTGGTTTTTTTCTTCACATTTTATCTCACACCTTGTATTATATTTGATATGCAGGTACATTTATTTTCTTCTCACTTTGGTAATATGATTTTTTTTTAACCACTCTCACTTATAATGTGTCATTTCATTCCAATTTTTTGCCCTACTTTTTCTCGTCAAACTAATTACGATGAAAATTGTAAACGACATGATGATAGCATTGTAATTTGTTCAAGTCTAATTATTTTCTTTCCATGTAATTTTCCTATCTATCATTCTATTGGATAATAGATTAGCCAATTAATCGTAGCGTTGGGAGAATGAGATTGATAACTTGTTGTCAAATTGTCAACTCAGATACAAAACCTAGATGATCTTGATGTTCATGAAAAACTTCAATCTGTGCAGTTGTGTTTAATTTTTATTAAACTTAAACAAGTTTTCACAAAAACTGATTAAGGGTTGTCTTTATCTGATTGTTCAATCACTTTAATCCCAAAATCTTGATTTTATGATTTTATCCAAGTTAAGTTATAATCCAAGGCTTTTGAAAATCAGAATGAATTTTGGGTAATGCAGTTATCTGTTGATTTGATATTTAACAAATTTTGTTTCTAGTTTTGGGATCGAATATAATTTCTTTACGTGTTTCAAATAACGATTACAGTTTTTATATGCCTTTGCCATTCTTGGCATGGATGTAAACATTTTTGGCATTATTAGGAAACAGATGCTTCATGTGTTGGTCTCATATGACAGCCATTGCTTGTCTTCAACCACTTGGATTCTTAAAAATCTTACTAACAATTTTAGTACATAAGACAAAGAAATTGTCAGGAAAAAATGTGATCCAGCACAATATTTGAAATATACTTTATAATCATCATATAATATACAGTTCTAAATTAGCAAGAACCAAAGAAAAAATCTCTGCCTCAGGGCCTCAGGAAAAAATTGTCTGTCTTGTTCATGTCATTCAGATCTAAGAGATAATTTTGAAGGTCGTTGACAAATGTTAACAAGCAATTAAAGGTTATTTGATATTGTCATGGAAACTTAATCTACCAATCAAAAACTAGCATTCAAATCAATCAGGAGAAATCTGATGACTTTAGATTGTGAAGATGGATGACTTATAGGACTTCAGTTGTTATATTAACTGTTTTTACTGATACTGTGTAGGGAATGTCTCCAGTAAGAACTTCTAACACAATGTCCCACAATGTCATACAACAATATTGGTTTCTCAACAAGCTATCAATTGTCATTGTTATGTTTTATTATGGTTTCAATGAGACTTGATTGGTATTGTTTGGGACTGTGAAACCCTGACTGTACAGATTACTGAAACCTTAGGAACCAACCAATCTTCTATGATTAGGGTCCAATTACTTCATTCTATTTCTCCCTTTTCAGACTTTTACCTTCAATACTTCAAATTTCTGGGTTTTCAAGCAATTTGGTTCCAATTTGTTAGGAAACATTTTCCTGATTGAAAAAAGTATAAGCAATTCAATGTCTACTTTTTTCATACAAAACTAATTTATAAAATGGAGAAAATTTAGCAAGTATTTCTATTGTGTAAATACTTCAAATTGACTAAATGATAAATTTCTGGGTTTTCAAGCAATTTGGTTCCAATTTTGTAACTGAGAATATGTGATTGTGGTTTTCTTCTGTTCAAATGTTTGATGATTTATGTATTTCAGGTATGGAAATGAAGGGAGAATACTATCGTGATTTTTATTTAGAACGGTACCATCGTGAAGCACCACCACCAACCTATCAAAGACGTGGTTCCTTACAACTCTGGCAGTTCCTGGTCACCTTGTTGGATGATCCAACTAATTCTGCGTTTATAGCTTGGACTGGGCGTGGTTTGGAATTTAAACTGATTGAACCTGAAGAGGTGTGTTAAGGTTTTGATTACTTTGGGAACTCCGCAGAATTAAAAATTGAAATGTGATCTGGATCTTATCTCTTTGTTTTTATTATTTTTTTTCTCCAATTGTATGTCACTATTGAAAAGACTGTATCATAAAATGCTTAGTTTTAGTAGAATTGCAAGAACCACAGACATCTGCTTGAAATGAGAATGGTGCAAATTGATGCTATCAATACATATAAAAAGTTTAATAAATCTCTTTACAATGCCTTTAATGGTTTGTATATCAACATTGAAATCTGTATTTTCAGGTTGCTAGAAGATGGGGAATGCAGAAGAACAGACCAGCCATGAATTATGATAAATTAAGTCGTTCACTACGTTATTACTATGAGAAAGGAATCATGCAGAAAGTAGCAGGCGAAAGATATGTGTATAAATTTGTCTGTGATCCAGAAGCCTTGTTCTCCATGGCGTTTCCTGACAATCACAGACCCATACTAAAAGGTGATCCTCAAAAAGATGACTATTTTAAACAAATGGTTCCTCAACAGGACAAACCATTGTCTCTAACAACCACTCAATCTTTTATTCCGACCAATGCCAGGAACTTTAACATGCCACCTCATCCTGCGACTGCTACCATGACAACAGATCAACACAGGTTACAGTATATGCAGGAGGTAACAAGAATGTATGGACCAGGACCATATATGGAGGGTTGTGTTTACTGATAAAGGGATTTTAGGGTGTAGGTCATTAGAAAAGATTTATATTAAAAATTTGGAGGGTAACAAGTTGGTGACCAGCAGGGATAAGTTTGGGGTATAAAGATGAAATATATTTATTAGACATCACCATTGCAAATCAAACAGCAGAATCATCTTAGGAGATAGTGAATTTAATATCAGGGGCATTCAGCTTTAATTTCGTTGATCTTTGAATGTATATTTTGTTATTGAATAATGGTATAATGTGACTTTATACTGACTTTTTGCAATATTAGAAGATCAAGCTGGGTGTATCCAATGCAGGTAACTTTCATATTCTGATAAAAGGCACACATATGTGTATCAGTATGAGCAATACATACCATTGCCTACTAAAGCCTGAAACAAAATACATCTGTATTGAGAAATGCACATTAATTTTATGTCATAGAAAAATTATATTATGTATATTTAAGTCAAAGATTACCACCCCAAATGAGTAAATTTGTAAATAATATAATATATAAAAAGTAATATATAAAAATTGTTATTGTAAATATTATTTAGTTTATATTCCTTATAAATTATTTCATCTTGATTGATAACTACCGAACTAGGACCAGTATCTTGAAATTGTTTGCTCAATAACACTTAAGTAATTTTCTTGGCAAGAAACTAATAGAAACAGTGCTCATTTTCATGCTGTCAAATAGTTCGAAGGTTACAAAACAACCAATTCTTCAAGAAATTAGTTGAAATAATAGTAAATTATTCAAATTATGTCAACATGGCCTATTGTTTTTAATATTTTAAATTCAATATGTTTAAGAGTCTGAAAATTCTTGATAATTGTAATCAATTATTAGAGCAAGAATTTATTTGAAATCATGAGAATTTGACAACTTGCTGATATCATCAACAACACCAATGGTATAAAGTACAGCACTACTATCATGTATTCCTGGACTTAAAATAATGATTTGACCACATTCCTATTTATTATTATATATCCTCATTGTATATTCCAATATCTAATACGTTAATAATTTAAATATAGTCATAAGATATACTCTCTTTGCCAAGAAATCAACTTATTATCCACTCATGTATCTAAAATATCTGTTATTTTACCTCCTGTTATATTGATTATTTGTTTTAATGAATTTGTCAAAAATAGGAAATATACTCATTAACAACTAAATTTTCCGAAATTTCGGATAACGTTCAGATTTTTGCGATTTTCTTTATGTCCATACTTCTGGAAGTTTTTGTAATTCTACATCACTTCCCTCCCAGAAATTCTGCATGAAACGACCTCCATGTGGTCCATACTAATGTTTAAATTCGATTATCTTCAACACTTTAAGTTACTATTTGCTTTTTTTTTTCAAAGACCAAAAAGGGTCCATTAGTGCGAGAAACCAAAAAATAATCTGATTAGTCTTAATATTATTTATCACTAGTCTTATTTCTAGTCTCTAAATTGTTTATTTATTTATTTATTTGTTGATTTTTTAGTTGTTTTATTTATTTTACTCATGTATTATTATGTTCAGATGATTTTGTTAGCAAAGTTTTCTATAATTATGAAGGGAACAAATCTTCAATGAAACTTGAGCAGTGAGTTGAAAATAACCACACTTTGGGAGTTGTTTTTGAAGGAGTCTTTACTCATTGGTTTAAAGCATCCAAATATAGCAGCGATAACGAATTCAGAAGTCCTCAATTCCAGTCAATTCATAGCCATGTGTAAAAAGTTATTCATCTCTTATGATTATTTTTTAGCATTTTTCAGATCTCAAATACAAGATATTTAATGGTTTAGAACCCATTTCTCTAAGAATCTCAGTATAGCATTTAATCACAAGTCTAATATTAATTTTTATATTAAATTTTGAAATTTTAGACCCCAAGAATTTTGAGAAATGGGTCTCTGATGTATAATCATATCTTGTGCAATTTCCATCTAGTCTCATGTAAAATACTTTCAGTCTGTTACTTGTTTTTTGTTTCAAATCTTTATTTGTAAATTGTAAATTATTAAACTTAATAAATCTTCAAAAGCCATTTGTGTTATTGTTGTATCTCTAGATAGAGTGGATAGACAGATTTAAACACATTGTAAATACCATATTTCCAATTGTAAAACACATTATACACGCAAATATATGGTACAAATGGTAACACAAGAAAATCCAGAAATACTTTGATTATTTCTGTCCACCAATAATGCTTTTTTCATCCTCAATGCATGTCATTTGCAACTACATGTAATATCAGCCAGTTGTGATGTGACACAACAATCAGCAAGCTTACACCTTTTCAAAAACAAGAAACACACTTTTCATTTCTATATATAAAATTTATTTATAACTTAATTTAATAGTCTTAACAGTAACATTGGGCTTGCTTGGTTTATTTCTTTTTTTGGTTTGTATATGCCATAATTAGAAGAAAAATATCCAATTAGAACCTCTTTCTACTTGAGTACCTTTTCAACAAAATAAACCTTTTCAAGAATAAACATCAACAAGCAAACCCTATAACAAATTATAACACATTTTTCTGTACAATTTGGAATATTTTCACATGCTATATTGCACAAATGGAAATGAACATGTACACATTTCTTATTCTTCAAGCAACAATGCCAAGTTTAAAGTTTTAAGTTTTCTCAACCTTCTAAATCCTGAAAAAGTTCTAGTTAATACCACCATTCATAATAACTGGTCACAATTTCTCATTTACCAACAAAACTGTAATTGTTTTTTTAACCTCTCACTCAATGGATGTGGAAAGTGATTTATATTACACTGTTCACCTAAGTTACATTCGTATCCTCTCTATTTCTTGGTGTTCACTCTATTCATCATATCTTTCACTGATTCTACTAATTGTTTATTGTTGGAATTTATAGCTTTCGTTAAAACTAATCCTAAACCTTCCTCACTCCTCATTTCAAATGCTGCATCTGCTGCTTCTTTAGCATTCCTGGAAAAAATAGCAATATCAAGACCAAATAATATGTAGAAATGCCAGCCAACTTGTAAATGGGTACAGATAATCTGGGAAAGATCAATGCCAAGAGGTTTGACCAAAGACCAGCTGGAAGAAAAGATTGTCTTGAACCTCGGTTGTTATCCTTTCTAGAAATTAGTTATGTCATCAAATCATAGAATATGGCATTGATTTCATCATATACAGTCACAATCTTCAAGCTAGTGGACCACAATAGTTCAATCTAGTCATAGAAAACATCAGGTGTTTAGGGTGAATATACTTTGCTTCATATTGATTGTTCAAGATATTGTGAACAATGTATTTTCAGTAAAGAAAGAATTTAATCATCCTACTAAAGACAGATATTTCATATTAAATGCCAGTGTTTCGGGGTTTTGTTTCTAAATATTAGCCTTACCCTACCTATTTCCAGTGATAAAATGAATGAGTAACTTACCCTATATTAAGAAGAGCTTGAACTTTTTGGTCTGGTAAAACTCGACTAAGATATTTCATTGCTTCACTTCTATTATTATATTTCATACAGATATTTACAAACGCCTAAAATACAACCATCAAATTACAATGAGACTCTTAAAGTACAAACTAGCTTCATAAAGCTAACACTTTAAAAAGAACAACAGAAGGAATTGTGACTAATATACTTTTAAATTATTATGAAACATTATTGTAAATAAAAATTTAAAAAGCCTTAAAAAAAGTGATCTACTACTATTGCGATTAGTGGATAGGACCTTGAACTTAATAAAAAGGGGTGTCAATTTATCAATATCAAGGGGTACTCATATTGAGTGCCTTACTTTGAAAAGTTTAGCACTGGGTTGAAAAAGCAAAACAAAAGCCTACCTCCATCCCTACAGGTGGTTTCTTAGTCTTGGAGAATTTTTCCAGTTCCATCCAATCTCCTGATTCTGCAAGTGCTGACATTCTCATTAACCAAAATCTGGAAGATTAATGACACAAGGGGCATAACTACTGTTTACTATGAGAATATATCTTACCAGACTACACAAACTCTGTGTCTGTTTGGTTTTGCAACTTGCTGCATCTTACTCAATTCTGCCTTGTATATTGGCAATGACGTCTCAATAATGCCACTTTTCAGGTCAATTCTATTCAAGTTCACTCAAATGCAAATAGTGACATCAAAAATATAAAGTTATCATGTTCAGTAAGGCCTGTCCTGCAACAGTGTCACGTAGTATCAAGTCTTGATAATCAACATTAGCAATAAATATTCAAATACAAAAATAAGTTCAGTACCTTTTGTCAGGGACTTTGAAATCTTTCCTAATCTGTTCAGCTAGTTTATGATTACCATTCTGTGTTAAACGATACATGGTGTCCTGTATACTAAGATCTAGGTAAGGTTTATTAGTCTCATCTTCTAACTTTCTCTGTAGTTTTAATAACTTAATTTGATCTTCTGTTTGCTGTAAATAAACCACAAGTATTAGGTATTTATATAAATAGGCTGTATATTATGTGATAGCATGTTGCTTGTTGTAAATCTAAATATGAAAGATTATGAATGCAATTTTTGCCAATTTTTTCACTGAAATCTGGAGTTTTGAAACAGAGATATATGAGTAACAGACAAAAAATGTTGTACATATATACCTTGGCTGCAAATTCCATTTTAGCTTTTTGATAACAGTTGATAGCTGCTTCAAGCTTCCTTACTCTGTCTTCAAAAATCTACCGATAAAAAGTAGAAAATAAACATCCATTACAATCAAAATCAAATTTAAACAACAAGACAAAATTAACAGGGTAACAAACTGAACCAAACACGGAATAATAACATTTACAGGCTTATCTTTGTCAGTAATGACTGTCTCTTTTCAACAATACATTAAATCAAAATACATTGTCTTTTACATGGGAATCGGTATCCAACATGTCAACTCTCTGAAAAAGGTGATCAATCATCAAAAAACTCGATTTGATAAAATCATCAACTTACATCTTCACTAAAACTTCTGATAACCTTACAGTTTCCTTCTGCTAGAAAATTATCTTCCTGATAGTACAGGTCTTCTACTACTTTAGGATTCTGTTGTCTACAATACTGGAATATAGCATACACATTACAGTTACTATCCGTAGGCTACGGACTACAATCATTTTTGATTATTCCCCTTTACAAACAAAATATGTCAAAGCAACAAAACAGATTTTCACTTCCATCTCCTTTCCAAGTATTGAAAAGTTATACATTTAAAAAAAAATAGAACTTGTTTATAAAAATATATTGTTGTCTATACAGACCTGTATATAGAGTGAATAAGCTACAGGCATCTGTCTTATAGCCATAAAAAATTCTCCCATATTGGATATCTTTTCTTTCATTGTTAATAATACTGTATAAACTGTAATACATATAATATATAGACATGGAATAATCTCTTAAAATAAACTGGTTTCTCCTCTACCTGAATATATCAGTTGTATGTCTGGTTGACAAAGTCTATAATAGGAAATACGGTGTGCGTTTCTAACAGAAATAACCTTACAACTAAATCGATGAGATGTGAAGTACATCTAACTTTGTGCTAAATGACATCAAAAGTTATCATAATGATTCAATTTGGTCTATTGCATGAACGGTGTGTGCTTGTCCCTTTATATTCAACTGATCTTACCTAAATCAGTATCACCACTATCTACAGCTTTACTGAGAGCAGCGTTATTCTGATCCATCTTTAGTAATAGTGGTACTTGTTCTGACGCTTTAGATTCATAGTCTAATAACTGTAACACACAAACTAAATATTTCAGCATTCAACTGTAATAACTCATCATTAGATAAAAAGCACATGGTTTGTGGTTGCCTGGTCTATTATGACTGCTGTTTCTCAGTTGCAAGGCATGTCCTCCTACATGTTTTACAGAAGAAGGTCACTTCAGAAAATTAACTAAACGCCATTTCCTATATACTCAATAAAAGACACTAATCATATTAAGTAGTTAATATGTAGAGATCATTTCATTTGAACATTTTTCATCCAATTATCAATAATTAAAGACTTTTTGTGTGAAATAATTATTTTTCTGTATTTGAATGTATTTTTGATGATACCTTTATAGCAAGCTGTTTACGTCCTTGTTCTAGAGCTTGACTAGCTATTTCAGAGAATGATACACCAGGAGCATCTATTAATTTCTGGGAGATAGCTCTAGCTAGTTGTTCTTCATCTTCATGTTTCTGTTGAACCTATCAACATATTCATATAAAGATAAATATTTCATTAGATTACAAAGTTGATATATCATGACCACCGGTGTTCACACTTAACTGACACCTTTCAAAGCTTAGATATAAAAATAGTTGATAAAAATAAAATATATAATTTTTAGAAGAAAGCTATACCTACCTTATAACAAGCCCAATGAGCCAAGATTCTACTAGCACCTTCAGCATCTGGTATTTTTAAATAATGACAGATTCTAATAGCTAGACAGAATAATTTCCGCAGAACTAGTCTGTCTATTAATACAGGAACAGATAGATGTCCTAATCTAGTTTGTGGTTAAAGAACACTATTCATCAGTATGAAATGATAGCAGATAGGACTTAGATATCTTTTTCAATTAATTAATTGAAGGGTTTTATTCCACACCAAAAGACTTATCGTGGTCTATTTTCCCAACTGTTGCTTATTTACAATATGAGCAAATTTAATCAAATGATTTATTTCACAAGAGCTGGACTGCTGACACATTTTGAAACAGCTTTTTAAAATGGAGATTTTATTATATGGGGATATATCTATATTTCTAGAAAGAAATAATAAAAGGATACTGTGTATAAGTAAGAGGTATACCAACACTATATTGTCTAACTTGATTTAATACTCGTAACATCTGACACATATCAACAAACGCTTCAGGTCTATACTCAGTTAAAAAACATTTACCAAATGATGCTGCCTGCAAACACAGATAGATTAGCATAATGACCAAAACTGACATAATTCCTATTGGGTGGAGTCTTTTTTTTTGGCAAGACTTCAAAAGCACATAACAAAATCAGCAGTTTATCTATTGAATAGCTCAGAGACAGCATGTTATTTAGGTGTCAGCTCAGTGAAAGGGACTATTTCTACAAAAGGTTAGAACAGTTATTTGATACTGCAACCAGTGCTTGTACAGTATCAGCTAACAACTTCTCTACATATAGCATGAATACACTTACCCTGAGTAAAGACTTTTGTTTTGAAGGTTCAAACTCGTGACCAGCTGCTAGTATACATTGATCTACTGCTACATCTAGTTTATCTTTTATCATACGAATATATTCATCTGCCTTCTGACTTCTTCTCTATAGAACAATACATCAATATAATGTAATTAATATGTAGTGGATGCTTATCAATACCCTTATAGATCTCAAATAGTACAGTTATAGTAAAGTTATACATATTCTGAGATTTCGTTATTTTTAAAGAACTCCTCTATCTCACGTCAAAGCATTTTAATAAACACTTACTGAAAATTCTTTAGAAGCTTCATATAACATAGCACCAGGTTCCATAGAACCAATTTTAAATATCTGTTCTGTTACATCTGTAATATAAGAATGAGCATGATGATTTAACATCTTTTCCTGTATTTTCCTGTCTCTGTAACATAAGTACTTCAGTTCTTGTATTGAGTTCTATTAAATTAACTGTGTTTGATTGACAAATACCCCTATTACTTTTAATATATAAATATCATTGATCTCATGTGATGTTCAAATTCTTATAACCGGAAGAGAAGAATATTATCAGACTTACTGGGAACTTTCTGTAGAAATTGGTGAACCTCATTCCCAATAATTCTCAACCCATCTTCTTCTTGTACCAAATATACAAAACTATCAAAATTATATCTAACAATAGGTTTAGGAATATATAAAGAATATAGTTTATATACTCAAATATAAAACAATTCACTAAACTTCACTTCATACAAATCCATCAAAAATAGATTGATATGAGTGGACCACAATGACAGAATTTCTTATTGGAGCACTTAACATTAGTCAGGTACATTTATCACCCACACAACTCCTCAAAAATAACATCACAGATTATGTGTAAAAGAATTCAACTAAACATGTGAATGCATGTCATCAAAGGCAGATGAATATCATACCAAAGTGTTAAACCATGTATTTTAAAAAGGATACTTTATCCAATCTTTATCCAAACCAACCACTATACCTAATTTATCCCATAGAGAAAATACTGCTTCAGAACCAATCCTGTCATTTACAAACAATTACTATTATAAAGTGCAGTTAAATAAACACCTTGTTAAATAGCAGAAAAACATTAATTTTTCTGATATTGAAAAGTGCCATAAAGATATATTAAATTAAGATATATATTTGCAAGAAAAGCTTGAAAAGGTCAAATTATTTGTATCCCTTTAAATTGATGCTGTCATTATAAAAGCATCACAGTCTATTGAAGAGCAAACAATGTTTAAATATAACATACCATGATAGCTGTTGAGGTCTTCTTGCTGCTTTCGTATTGAATTCACAATGTACCTCCTACAATATAATGAATAATGTTAGCAATAAAATAAGATTACAATTTTCTTTGTCATCATTCAACAACTTATGTGTTCAAGCCAGCTCCTCCAACCTGTCTCACCATACAAAAGGAATCGCCATCACATTCAAAAGCATAAATCAACCTATATATGCCCAGGTTGATAAACAAGTGCCTTTCCCAACAATCACTGATATAGATGATCAAGTTTCTCATGCTTTTATAATAACATAGATGTGTTCATAGCAAATCTATTCACAATATAAAGTGAAAATAAACAAGAAAACCAGAATATACATGTATCTTACCTTCAAATCAGAAGAGCCAATCCAAATAACTCCTGTATCAGTGAATAATGATAACATTTTATTGTTAAATGATACAGCCATTTCTATAAATGCTGTCACAGGCGATGATAACTTGGGAAACTGAAAAAATATAGATCAGGATTTAGCAAGATAAAATAAAATTCTCAACTTTAACTACATTCAAAATCAAAAGGGTCCATATGGTTCGAAACTTAATATCTAAAATTATTCCAATCCATTAATGTGACCATTTTTATAGAATATACAGACATTAAATGGGAAATCTGAATTCTCTAAAAAGATGGTTTGAGTATCCCTGATACAGAAAAACGAATGAGAATATCTTTTCAGCTCCAAATGGAGTGAGATTTTGATCAAGAAGAAAGAACACTTGTCACATCAAGCAAGACTTATACAAATGAATACATTTTCTACCTGTTCTTCATATTGGCCACCCTGGTCTATAAGAAATAACTGACTATTTTTAGCTACCAGTGCTCGACATTGTCTATCAAGATTTAATATGGTCCAGCTACTTGGTACACTGTTTAAATCTGAAATAAAGATGTTAAAGGACATTTCTTATCTTCCATATCTTACAACTCAAATTAAATTCATTTGAATATCTTATAGTATCCAAATTGTGGTTTAATTTGATAAAACAATTTTGAATTATAGGATTATAGGAATAATAGGATTATCCATGCTAGATATATACACATATCATATTTTCACATTCTGATGTTGAAAAAATCATAAAAAACAAGTTTCTAGAACAATGGATCAAAAGTTCAATCTGTACCTGGAACTTCAGCTAGTTTTCTGACTCTGGGATCATCAACATTATTGACTATATAGATCCTGAAACTGGTTGTCATAACAGCAATGCCAGTTCCTTGGAAACTTGAAAATATCTTCCAATCTAGTATCTTTACATCTTTAGCTTCCTATTAGAAAATTAAAACCATATTCAAAGAATGGAACATCACAAGCTAGTTGACTACATCCAAATATGCCATATAGGACACGAGGTTGGTAAAATAAGGGACTTGGAAGACATTCAGCATAGAATATTGTGCATGAAGAAAGCACATGAAAGGAAATGATTTTTGATATCACAATGGGCCAAACCGTGAGCCATGTATTATTATAAATCATGTATGGTTTATGTCACAAAAAGTGATATACATGAGATGTACTTACAGTTCCCATACCAAAGGTACGTTTAAAATTGAGAGCAATATCATAGACTAATATAACACCATTATCTTGTATACATAATAATTCTTCTGTATTAGACCAGCCCAGGTGAACTACTGTACCGCTATTCCACTAAAATATATGATACAGAATAATACACTTTGAAGGAAGAAAATAAATCAGTATTGCAGTACTTTAGCTCACTTCAACAGAAATTAACTGTAGTCTGATAGTTTAACTGACAACCCTATGAACAGTCAGACAGACCAGTTGGGAATAATTAAAGGAAATCTCACCCTGTGTTGACTGAGTAATTTACCAGCTGCATTATATACACTAATAACAGGTTTAACATTAGTTACAACACGACCAGCTTTCTTCTCATCTTTCATTAAAACTACAACAAATATCAACATTAACAAGTAGAATTCAACACTTTCCAATTCATTCAAAATACCAGAATCTAATAACAGCCAACATATTCATTCATAATACAAGTAGAATTAGTTTCATATCATTTCCTACACTAAACCAACAAATTCATGTTACATTGGAACTCTAAAATAGATATTGTGTCTAACAAAATTTCACGGTACTAGTCAATCAAATACATGTATATTGTGAATTTAAATCTGATTCTAAATATTTTTCCTATAGTTCTGAAAATCAAGCTTCACCAACCTACAGGTCCACCATATGGAGCAGCAGCTATCATAAAATGATTCAAGTCTATTAGACCATTCCATTCCATCTGATACAGTTCTACATTTCTATAAATATAAGGTAAAATAGTTTAGACATAGTACATTCAAAATAAGGCCTTCCATTTTGCTTACAATTCTTACATACATAATATGACACATATATTGGATGTTATATTCTAACTCAAGATTAGGGTACATACATAGGAGACTAATTAGTAATAATAACTTTTGTGGTAGCTGAGCCATGGCTAACCTCCCGAGGCTCTGGTGAAGAATGAATCAGATATTATTAAGAGTCCAAATCTCTAGTTATCCTCCAGTTTGAATAAGCTTTGTAAAAATTGACTTTGATAAAACGAAAGTAGACCTCTATTGACTTCATTGATAAATTAATTACAGGCGAAGAATAATGTTGAAATAAATAATTACCTGTAGTAAACGTCTCCAAGAGGGTTCCAGTCGGCTGTTGCCATCTTGATTTCAGTTGATCTTCAATTATTTTTGCATTATTCACAGAAAATCGTAAAAAATATTACCATTAGATGGATAACTAACCGGAAGTCTCACCACCTCTGAATCATAAGGCAGTAAATAGTCTCCAGATATCTGATTGGTCGAAAATAGACCAATCAAATAACATTGGTGCCTTCTCGATTCCTCCATTTTCCTGAAAGTTTCCTTTACTTTCCCAAAAGTTTTCACCGATTCCACGGCAGAAGATCCCTCAGAAATTTCCTCCCCTGCATTTTAATTCGTTGAAGAAAAAAGGTTAGTTAAGTTTTCTCAATTTAAGTCCATTTCAGTCGATGCTGACGAAAGCAGAACAGACAGATCGTCACGCTCTATGTGATACATTGAGCCGGCGGCTCTTTGATCTTTTCGTCGGCTCATTTGATGTACCGTTATATCTTTATTCTGAAAACGTTAAGGGTTCTTCTTGATTATTTATATTTGATTAAACTAGGTATTTGCTGATTCTCCATTATTAATATTTTGTAAAATAAATAATGGTGTTTTATATGGATCTAGTGTTTTATTTAAATGAGTATTAAATAGTCACTACTGCTCTAGTAGAGTACGTGACAAGATGTCTCGAGCAGAGCTAATGGAATTAAGTGTAAAATGAAAAAAAATAACTTAATCAATGATACATTGAAAGCTGTACCATAGTCCATAGGCTTATTAATCTAGTGGATCCAAACTGTCTTTGTGCAAAATTAAGGTTCTCAGATGGAGAGATTTGTGCAGAGGCTTTTATAGAGCTAGAGTTTTAGCCCTAATAAGCTAAGCATCAAATAAATTAAAAGAATAAAGCGTGATAATTTGATAGAGGATCATTATTAAGATCATGAAGGATGATAACTTTATAACTTGCTGACAAGTCCTATATTATATCCAAAGGTAAATTTAGAATTCTCTACTAGGCATGGCAGATATTGTACCTGGTTGTTATTGCATGTTAATTCCTCTGACTATCATCACTATCATTCCAATTCTCAATTGGATCAAAGCTCAAGGTTAGATTGGGTTCTACAATATTAGAAATATCCCAGCTAACAATGCAAGTGCACATTTTTTTGCATGTCAGTCTAAGCTTACTAATTTCAATGTTGACAAACTCTTGATTGATCTACCTGACAAGCAGAATAAAGCATGCCCTCCTGATTAATTGGAAAGTTACCATGTACAAAGGGATTCAGAGCCAACCCTCCTCATTAAGGAATTCTTTTCATACTTGTTATATTTGAATTAGAGTAAATATGCCATGATGAGTACTGATCTAATATGATGTTTTGACTAATATTAGTAATTGAATGGAAACCTGCTGCATACTAATTATACAACTATTATTATTCTTACAATACTAACATAATGTATATATTGATTTACTATACTTTATAATGAATAGATATTATTTACGTTAATAAAATTACTTTTAAAACACATTTATAGTACTGGTAGTGAAAAATCTTATAACGCTTATGATTATGCAATGCAAATAGAAGATAAAGCTTATTTCACCACTTTCCAGCTGCTTATCACCTAGTGAGAATTTTAAGGGATACATGTGGTTTATTAAGTTATGACTTGACACCATCTGAGGCAATCTGTAGTTATACAGAAAGGAAAGGTTTGAAATGGAAAGTGGTGAATTTGGTGATTTGATTGTTGTAGTATGGGGTGTCAGAATTCCCTTTAGCTTACAAGTACTGAAAATATCACATGATTGATAGTTGTTCTCCATCTGAAGGAAAATAATCAAATATGATGTTTGAATTGTACTTGAGCAAAGGTGTTACTATGTTTGAATTGTACTTGCATGAAGAGATTCACACAGTTACACCATACGTTTGCTAATCACCCTGGCCATTTCTTCATTGTCTTTATTATATTTCAGGTTATGTCTTGGGAAGCTTACATTAATAAACTTCAAAAAGATGGCTGTACATTCGCTGCTATTGTAGGTCTTGACTGTACAGTTTGGGCATCAAATTTTAAAATATCATTTGAAGAAATTAGTGCACTGGTTAATCTTGCTACTAAAGATGGAGATGCATGTCATGGATTAAGACTGGGTGGTTGGGACTATACTGTTGTTAGTGTTGAAAAGTTTGATAACGTGAGATTAAAAAGGAAACATTGTGAACCAGAAGACAAATATTTTGTATATTGTGGTGTCACAAGGTCAGCCATTGTTATAGGTGGTGTACCTGCTGGAGGACAAGAGAGAAATATTTCAGTGGTGATTTTGGAAATGCAAGATTACTTATTGAAATCTGATTTTTGATCTGAGTTTAATCCAGCTACAAGTTAATTAATTGAAAAACTTTTCATCGAAATTGAATGCATTGAAATATGAATATTCTGTCTACATTCTAGTTTACACATTGAAATATCTATGCAACTGCAATGTCCTGTTAATTTCTCATAGCATTTTAGTTTGGAGAATCACCTTGATGTCTAATTATCAACTGTCATTTCCAAGAACAACATATTAAAGCTCATGTGAGAATGAAAATGATAACTTTGTTTTGTATGAACAATTCAGTTATCAGAATAGAAAAGTATTACAATGCTTATCAATCATAAGAATTATTAGTATTATATGTCTTATTGTCAAATTTCTTTGGTAAGAGTTACATCTACCTCTACTGTCTATTCAATTTGTTGGTAAATGTTTATAGTTGTTTGAGAAAATCTTTTGGTTTAGTTACTGTTTTGTGTTTTTTAAAATGCTAGGTATACCTTGTTCTAGTCAAATCCAATTTTGTTTTAAAATATGTATACATCTGTTATATTTGTTAATGATTTTGTTATATTGAGTTTTTAACGGTTTTTATTGACTCTAGAAATCTTTTAATGATAATTCTATTGTTTTGTTTATACACTTATCATAATCATTTATTTATTTATTATCACCATTATTGAATGGCTCAGTCATTAACTGTTCCTTATTAAATCACTCACTGGGTAATCAATCTGTGTTCATGAAAATCATAAATTAGTTAAATTGATTAATTTATTTTTACCATTTACTGTCATCCCTTAGTATTACAACATGCATTCAACAATTCATTCATCCTCTTGCTCAATCATTCAATCATTTTTCCATTTCAAACATGTGTTTATTCAGGTATACAAGATGCATTACATATCTACCTGACCTGATAAATTAGTTAACCTGGGCTCCAATCACAAGTGTTCCATGTTAATTTTATTATATTATTATTGTATATGACACATTGTTATGTTTTATAGCCCTGTAACACTGGAAAGGCATTTTTCCTAAACAGCTACTGCAAGGGAAAATTGATCCAGAGCTGTTTTATGAAATTATTATTAATTTTTAATTTTTTTTTTAGTTTAACGGCGCCCTGATGTATAAAATCGCAAATGGGTGCAGTCTGGTCTGACAGGGATATGATTTTGATGCTTGCCTTCATAGAATAATATAATTCATAAGAGCAATATCAAGGTGTGAAAAGATGGGGCACTGTGTCCATTGTGGTATATGTTGCAAGTTAGAAAATAAGAGGCAAATATTTGAGATACGTTTGGGAACATGATTCAGATACAATTGGCCAGTGTCTACACTTGAAAAAAACTGCAACGTACATCATTCCTCATCTATCCCCTACTTAAGTTATATGAATTATGTTAGTGTTTTATTATTGAATGAGATTGTCTACAGGTTCTTGTATAATGAGATTTGTTTTCATTTCTATATGTGATATTTATTTTGTAAATAAAAAGCATATCATAGAATTGTTAATTTTTTTTTTTATGACATTCATAGTGTTGATGTGAAGCATTTGGATGTATAAACATGAGTACTAAAGGTGTATATGTTGAATTTGTTTGATCTTTTTTTATGTGATGTTGTGTCTAACATTTGCATCTCCTACTAATAAAGCTTTATTTCAGCTTTCAATAACACTTTTGAGAATTAAAATCTAAATACCTTGACCTCAGACTGCCATGAAGTATTAACCTATGCTAACTTGCCCTGCTAATATTTTTCAAATGCCTGATTGCTGAATGAATTTTGAATAATGTTACTCTTGCCACTAGAATGAACAGCATGAACCCATTTCCTATTCTTATAATATATTATATAATATGTTATTTCCTGACACTAAGAACTGGAGTAGCATGAGCTAGTTGAAGTAAATCATGTCTGTTAAATAATTGATAAGGTCAGACTGCAGACCGAAGAACTGTTTGAATTTTTAGTACGTGCAAACCTTGCAAAGAAGCAAAAAGTATCAGTACATATGTTAAATTAACTTGACTTGACATCTGAGTCTTCAACTCCAGAACTAGTTGGCTATTTTTAAATTATAAACTATTCCTTAAACTAGAAAAACCTAACATTTAATTTTTACTTCAACAATATTTGTTGCTCTGTGACCTACTTCAGTGCTTTTATTGAGATTCGACTCGCTAAACTTAAACAATGATTTTATAAATGCACAGTCCAATGCTTGAAAATCAACTTTTGTTTAGTGATTTGACCTAGTTTTGATCATTCCAAACCCCATGATTGCAAATATAAGTAGATGTTGGTGCTTCAAGTTTAGTATGTTTTCTGACCTCTTGACTTGATGACCTAGTTTAACAATCTGTGATATCTATTACCCTGTTATATTTTATTTTCTCACCTGATTTCCTCAGACCTAATGGTTCACACCTGGTTTTTAGTTATGCTAAAAAAATATACTCAAAGATATTACAATGATAAGAGACCTATTTATATAAAATTGTCTGGGTAATAATACTGAGATAGGTTAAGGTTGAGGTAGACTTTGGTTAAATTGCATCATGTGCATACTTGCTATTGGGTAACTTCCATTGCATGTACCAGAAAGGCTGTATTTTCGAAAATATTCAGGAAACTATCATCATGTCGAGCACCACCCTATATGTACCACCCTATATCTTCCTGGACTCTATCAAAAAGGGTTGATTGGAA